GGTCTCAACGATTTAATGTACTTTTCCAAACCTAAACGTTTCTGTCAAATAGCTACGTATGCGTATACCATTGATACAGAAGCTAATAATTTAACTATTTTTTATGACTGACAATTTCGCTTAGTGCTTGTAATAGAAATAACCAAATCAACACTACGATGGCCGCTGATGAATACTTCCTATTAAATCTTTAATAAATCTAAGACATTCCGCTAAACGGAATAGTTGATTTACCCGACTTGTCGACCCCCAATTGCCCGGTCGGCTAAAGACCTTGGTCTTTCATTGCTTCCCTCACTTCACTCAGTGTTTGTTTCAGACTTTTTATCCTGGGGGGGGGGGAGGTACTTTAAACTTTCGTGGGGGCGGACTAAATTTTCCGGGGAGGGGGAGTCAGACACAGGTCAAAGTATATATTTCTATAACTTCTATCTCGTTCAGTGGGGGGGGGGGGGGGCTGCGGTAGACATTCTTGGGGGTGCCCCCCCTACCCCTCGAAGAGATACTTGGAGGAAACTCTGACTTCCCTTATCAACACTCGTGGAAAAATATGACTTTTCTTAAGTGTTTTTTTTTTTTTTTAGATTTCGAACTCGTAACTTAACTAGATTTCATTTATTACTGTTCTTTTCTAAGAACGAGAGGTTTATATTTCCTGTTAGTAATATATCAATACAAAACTAGACAAACTGTATGTTTATGGTCCCATTTAAATGATTAAAATGTCATCTGTATGGGTAAGTTACAATATTCAAGATTAAGATAATTGTCTGTATGGATAAGTTACAATATTTAGGATTAAGATAATCGTCTGTATGAGTAAGTTACAATATTTAGGATTAAGATAATCGTCTGTATGAGTAAGTTACAATATTCAAGATTAAGATAATTGTCTGTATGGATAAGTTACAATATTCAAGATTAAGATAAGTGTCTGTATGAGTAAGTTACAAAATTCAAGATTAAGATAATTGTCTGTATGGATAAGTTACAATATTTAGGATTAAGATAATCGTCTGTATGAGTAAGTTACAATATTTAGGATTAAGATAATCGTCTGTATGAGTAAGTTACAATATTCAAGATTAAGATAATTGTCTGTATGAGTAAGTTACAATATTCAAGATTAAGATAAGTGTCTGTATGAGTAAGTTACAATATTCAAGATTAAGATAATCGTCTGTATGGGTAAGTTACAATATTCAAGATTAAGATAATCGTCTGTATGGGTAAGTTACAATATTCAAGATTAAGATAATCGTCTGTATGAGTAAGTTACAATATTCAAGATTAAGATAATCGTCTGTATGAGTAAGTTACAATATTCAAGATTAAGATAAGTGTCTGTATGAGTAAGTTACAATATTCAAGATTAAGATAAGTGTCTGTATGAGTAAGTTACAATATTCAAGATTAAGATAATCGTCTGTATGAGTAAGTTACAATATTCAAGATTAAGATAATTGTCTGTATGAGTAAGTTACAATATTCAAGATTAAGATAAGTGTCTGTATGAGTAAGTTACAATATTCAAGATTAAGATAATTGTCTGTATGAGTAAGTTACAAAATTTAAGATTAAGATAATTGTCTGTATGAGTAAGTTACAATATTCAAGATTAAGATAATTGTCTGTATGAGTAAGTTACAAAATTTAAGATTAAGATAATTGTCTGTATGAGTAAGTTACAATATTCAAGATTAAGATAATCGTCTGTATGAGTAAGTTACAATATTCAAGATTAAGATAATCGTCTGTATGAGTAAGTTACAATATTCAAGATTAAGATAATCGTCTGTATGAGTAAGTTACAAAATTCAAGATTAAGATAATTGTCTGTATGAGTAAGTTACAATATTCAAGATTAAGATAATCGTCTGTATGAGTAAGTTACAATATTCAAGATTAAGATAATTGTCTGTATGAGTAAGTTACAAAATTTAAGATTAAGATAATTGTCTGTATGAGTAAGTTACAATATTCAAGATTAAGATAATTGTCTGTATGAGTAAGTTACAATATTCAAGATTAAGATAATTGTCTGTATGAGTAAGTTACAATATTCAAGATTAAGATAATTGTCTGTATGAGTAAGTTACAATATTCAAGATTAAGATAATCGTCTGTATGAGTAAGTTACAATATTCAAGATTAAGATAATCGTCTGTATGGGTAAGATTCAGACACAATGGCGATGAAAGCAAAATTAAGTTTCAGTCTGATTGATTACAAATTACAATCATGTGTGTGTAATTACGATCATGTGGCTACGACTGAAAATCCGCCTAATTAACTTTCTTCCAGTGTTGATGTTAGCTCATAAAAGGTCTGACCAACACTAGCTAGTGTACGTCAAAGGATAACTAAACTTTATGTCAACATATATTTCAGTCTGATCTTAACGATATACTGGTTGGTATTTATTTAGAACTAGGCATGCTGCCCAGCTTCGCTTAGGCTTTCGAAAACATTCAGAATTTGAATGCTTAATTAATTCGCTCGAGGGTCGGTCTACGACCTCAAGAGTTATGAAGAGGTTCCTCCGTGGACATTTATTTTCGATTTATAGCTCATTTAAGGTACCGGTCAGTCGAGGTCAGTTTTGACCCCCTCATCGTAGACTTTTCGGCCAACCGGCCCCCGTGCTCTGTCGCCCCAAGGCAAGATCCTGCCAAATTTGAAGCGCCTGCGGCGCCGGGAAGTGCCTTATCGGACACCCGACAATCTAGATCTAGATCTAGAATCCTAATTGAATTTTTTTTTTAAGTTTAGTCCGAGCAAAACAAAAAAAAATACATTAACCAAGTTGACTTGGTGGGTCTCGAACCCGCACCACCTGCGTGGTTTATAGTACACTAACATCTCCGCTATTTAGGCACCTTATAAAATACAGAGAATGAAAGACGTATTTTAAAATCTTAACTTACGCGAATATGCCTATTCTTTCAAATTAATTTTTTTATCCCAAATTAGCCAGTTCCAAACAAAGATTTTGTATAAATAAATGTTATGAGTTTAGGCCGGAAAAAATGTATTGTATACATTTCATAGTGTACGTAGATCTAAATCAAATTTGAATGAAATAGTTCATTTCTTTTTTTATTCTAAACACGGCAGATGACGTCATTAGTAAGCAATAGTGTCGTCACAGTTTTATGCGTTCTTTTACACATCTATTAATGCTTTTCCGGTTGCATAAATAATACTGTTTCTCTACATTCGAATACGCCTTGATTTTATATTTTTCTTCTTGAAATAAAATTGTGGTTATACATTTAAAACATCTAACATATTATTTTCAACAAAAGTCCGTATAAAGTTCTCCATATATCGCTGCCGTTTCTGACGTGATGTCCGGCGAAAATTTTTTGCGGACAGAGAGAGAGAGAGAGAGAGAGATGTGCGAACTTGGCCCATTATAGTATTAGATGCATTGTCAGTTAAACATCAACTCATACCTTATTGAATACTTTTAAAATACCCAACTGCAACAATTTAATCAAAATACGGAACAGCTTGCTTTTGAAGGTAAATGCAATAGTTTTTAAATTTAGCTTTATCGGCATTATTTTAATTATATTAACTATTAAATCATACATTACATTCCCTTAAAAAATAGAATTTTGAATTTAAATATAAAGCCAGATCTCCCGAAATAGTTCTTATAAATCTTAAACTAAATTTACGCCTCGCTATAAATTAGTCTGGGATTCTGGTAAACAAAATCTTGGATCTAGACGAGCGTAGGTGTTTAATTAAGTCTGATACAATTTGCACTTATCTTAAAAATAAATCCAAGTTGGTTTTTTTTTTCCTTGCAAGCTTGCGCTGTACTGAAGTTGGAAAATCCGATGTTAAAAATAGCTTGGCCAAAGTGTTCCATATATTTCCCATCCTCTTGGGCTAATTTCAGTGTGTACCCGTAGATTATAACTAATTGTAGTACTTTAGGCCTACTCCAATACGATTTTTTTTCTTCGACACTTCCCTAGCTGTTAGTTTTATTACTGCCATGGGCGCGGATGGATTTTTCTGAAGGTAGGTCAGCCTGACCTGTCTGTTGTCATGCAGACGTCAATGAATGCGTAGGGTCATCAGAGTAAGAGGATTTGTGTAATTAGATTTTGTAATATCTTATAGATAACGATTTACTAAATTTCTTTTTAAGATTTGTCGCGGTCGCTTATTTCTAGTCATAAGTGACTCGTTTAAATGTCGGGGCTTATATGTTTAGAGTAGCGATAAACAGACAGTCTTTGATTTAAATGTACAAAATGTGTACAAACTTATTATGCTGTAAAATAGAGTGAAAAATCCAAACAGTACTTGCAAATAACTTTAGTATGGGCCTACCTATTTTTACTCGTATATTAAAAAAAAACCCTCCCTCCCCCCCCCCCCCCACACACAGACACACAGACACATACAGAGACACAGACAGACACAGACAGACACAGAGACACACAGACACACGGAGACACGGAGACACACAGACACACACTGAAAAACAGACACACAGAGACACACACAGACACACACAGACACACAGAGACACACTAGACACACAGAGACACACAGAGACACACAGAGACACACAGAGACACACACAGAAACACAGACACACACAGACACACACAGAGACACACTAGACACACAGAGACACACACAGACACACGGAGACACACACAGACACACAGAGACACACAGAGACACACAGAGACACACATAGACACACAGACACACACAGACACACAGACACACACAGACACACACAGACACACACAGACACACAGAGACACACAGAGACACACAGAGACACACAGAGACACACACAGAAACACAGACACACACACACAGACACGAAGAGACGCAGAGACACAGAGACACACAGACACGGATACACACAGACACACAGAAAGACACAGAGACACACACAAAGACACAGATACACACAGACACACAGACACACACAAAGACACAGAGACACACCAGTTACTTACATGGTCCAGCCAGACGTTTGTAATCAACACCTGGTTCTTCTCGTCCTGGTCAAGAAAAAAAAACATGGATTGGTTGTTACATAGCAACAAGTATATTTTATAGGGGAAGAAGAGGTGTGATTTTAGAGGAGCAATTGTTGGAACCTACAGGGAAGAGATGTGAACATAGAGACACAAATGTTGGAACCTACAGGGAAGAGGTGTGAACATAGAGACACAAATATTGGAACCTACAGGGAAGAGGTGTGAACATAGAGACACAAATATTGGAACCTACAGGGAAGAGGTGTGAACATAGAGACACAAATGTTGGAACCTACAGGGAAGAGGTGTGAACATAGAGACACAAATATTGGAACCTACAGGGAAGAGGTGTGAACATAGAGACACAAATGTTGGAACCTACAGGGAAGAGGTGTGAATATACGGTTGATAACCAAAGTTAAAGTTTAGGTTTAATGTTGAGGATACAATCTAACTTTTGATTAAGGCTAAGGTTAAGATAATTGATATTTTATTATTGCAGTTACATTCATAACCAAAGCTTAGATTTAGGGTTAAGTTTGATTTATGGCTAGTGTTAAGAAAACTGAAGTAGCCCAAATCAGACTTGTGTCGAATCCGATCGTTAATTACTCAGTCATATGTCCAGCTTTCCCTTTAAACGCGGGATAAATACTTAATGTAAAATATATCCATATTGCTCAAACAGCGTTTAGTAAAGCTCCCACCTTCCCTAGTGTGACATTTTGCCCACACGAGGCAAATCATGTTACACAAACCATCTAGAAGATAACAACATATCACACAATCAAGTCACGTAGGGTGTACACAATATCACGCGAAATGCTATTTTTAGCGGCCAATCATCTTTATCATAAAAATAAAATCACAATCAAACAAATAGCTTCGCGTGAGGACTGTTGATTTTCCTTTTAATTAAAGCCAAAGGGGAAAGATCTCCATTATCATCCATACGCTTCTTTGTCGCCCCTTTTTTACATCTTTGTTTACATTTTACACATATTACATAAGACAAGGGCGTAGTTAGGGCCTGTCATGTTGTTTGTAGAACCCCATTATAAACGTTTTGCCAGCGGCACTGATTTAAAACATTGCTTTAAAATGGACTTTGGATATTTTCAACTTGTGTTAAAACAACACTTTATAAATCAACCTATTTATGGTAATTGTTTAAATTGGAAATCTAAATAGGTATTCGGAACCTGTTTTTTTTTTGCTATGTTTTATTATCTTCACCCCCGCCCCACCTCCCACCCTCCCACCCCCACAATAAATGACGCCATAAACCACATCACTGGCAGGCAAAATGTATTTACACTCCATTGAGCTGTATACCATTTGGACAGATCATGGAAGACATACGCCAATTTACAATATCTTTTTTTGTAATACCCCCCCCCCAAAGCTATCGCCACAGACCCCGTATTTCCATTCATTACAAAAAGGATTCATCCGTACCTCACGATTTCAGTGGGCAGAGAGAAAGAACGGAATATCAAATGATTATTCATAAGGGGAGGCAACTAAAGGGAAGTAAAAATATCGTTTCTTTTTTTTTTCTGGAGAATTTGTGTGAATTCTATTTTTGTTTAGTAACATTATTACTTGAACAAAATAATTTTTTTACATTATATTAAAATAAAATGTTAGAATTGTAAACATTTTATTGATGATTATTTATTTTTATTGTAGCTAAAAAACATTTCTTTTTATCACATAGACACCCAATAAAAATCATATAATTTTTTCTATTTAAGCGTTCTTCAGGACATTTCATTAGTGAGTCTCTTGAGGCGAGTTTATCCGTGTTGACAGCCTACATGCATGTTTGTCCCCTCATCTTTCAAACTGCAACCTTTTGAAAACTCAATGCGACCACTACAACACCATTTCAACTAGTCAACATAAGTTGTTTCCCTACATAGAAAATGCTTCACTGTCCCATTGACCCTCTCTGAAAAATTTCCTTTCCTCTCCCCACCCAGACTTCTGACACTTTCATTTGACCTTCACCCCTTTTACTGTCATCCTTTGCAATTTTTTTTTTTAAATCAAAAACATGACATCATGTAAATATTCATTATGTACATTTGCAAAACCTTTCGTTTTCATTTGGTGTTCAAAATTATGTTAAAAAATTTGATGCTGATGTACTTGTTTTAATTGCAAATAAAAGTATTAAAAAAAAAAACATGCATGTTTGTATGGGGTGTATAGCACTACTTAAAAACCCAAATTCCCCGTCCCCCCAACCCACCACGCACGACGAGAAAAAGAATCCCTTGAATAATCATTTAATTACACATTTGCATTTTCAGTTTCAGGTTGGTTTTTAATTTTTATTTTTAATTATATTTATACGTTTTGTATTAGATCTATGTATAAGTAAACCATCTTAAATGAATGAAAGCAGGCTACAAGTAAGAAAGAAATATTACTATTGTAAATCAGTATCAGTCCTCACAAGCCGATGATGAAAACTGTAATACTAAAGCGTACACACAACTGACGCTATAAATTAAGTGTCTGAGGCAAAAAAAAATGCTTGTTTGTATGGTTTCTGTGTTGAAAGCCTACAAGCATGTTTGTATGGTTTATATGTTGACAGCCTACATGTATGTTTGTATGTTTGTATGGTTTATGTGTTGACACCCTACATGCATGTTTGTATGATTTATGTTTTGACAGCCTACATGCATGTTTGTATGGTATATGTGTTGACAGCCTACATGCATGTTTGTATGGCAGTGGCGTAGCGAGGTCGGGTGTCACCCGGTGCGGCACTTAATGGTGTCACCCCCCAGAGGCATAGAGACCCTTCCCAGGGACAAACTTTCAAATTTTCGATTTGCACCCCCCCCCCCCTCAAACTTTCGATTTGCACCCCCCCCTCAAACTTTCGATTTGCACCCCCCCCCCTCAAGTTTTCGATTTGCACCCCCCCCCCTCAAACTTTCGATTTGCACCCCCCCCCCCCCGTCGAGTTTTTCTCTATATATTTTGCTATTTTTTGCCTTGGTGTCACCCCCCTAAATGGTGTCACCCGGTGCGGTCCACACCCCCCGCCCCCCCCCCCCCTCGCTACGCCCCTGTTGTATGGTTTATGTGTTGACAGCCTACATGCATGTTTGTATGGTTTATGTGTTGACAGCCTACATGTATGTTTGTATGGTTTATGTATTGACAGCCTACTTACATGTTTGTATGGTTTATGTGTTGACAACGTACATGCATGTTTGTATGGTTCCCGTGTTGACAGCCTACATGCATGTTTGTATGGTTTATGTGTAGACAGCCTACATGTATGTTTGTATGGTTTACGTGCCGGGTTAGCGACCACCAGTGCTAAAAAGAAAAAACACGGATATCATGGAGAACATATTTTCCGCTCCCAAAGAGGAGTTCATATCAAAAGATACAATGAAGGTGATTGGTCGAACTCAGTAAGGAGTTGAACTGCTGTCTTCCAGCTTTTCTCTGAGTGAGAATACTTAGGCCAGTGGCGCAGCGAGGTCGGGTGTCACCCGGTGCGGCACTTAATGGTGTCACCCCCCATAGGTGTAGCGACCCTTTCCGGGGACAAACTTTCAAATTTTCGACTTGCACCCCCTCTCAAACTTTCGATTTGCACTCCCCCCCCCTCTCAAACTTTCGATTTGCATCCCCCCTTAAGTTTTTCTCTATATATTTTGCTATTTTTTCGCCTTGGTGTCACCCCCCCCCCCTAAATGGTGTCACCCGGTGCGGTCCGCATCCCCCCGCCCCCCTACCCGATACGCCTCTGACTTAGGCTTTTAACTGTAATGGTAGCACGAAGTATGCGATGGCGAAAGTAGTTGCAATAGACATGGAACTAATCGAAACAGTTGGAAAGAGGATGAATACCGAGTTTACAGGTATTACTTTATTGTATTGGAGTAAATCCCATGCAACATGACATGAAAGAATTCAAAAACTGGCAAAGGACTGAAGAACAAGAAAATATGTCATACACATACATTAATTTTGTTTATTTATATATACGCATTGTTTTGCATCCTCTTAAATACTGTCTTTTCAAATCCCGCCCTTTCCCCATGATAGATAGATGTTGTATGCACAGTAGAAATGTGTTGGCAGTCCTTCATAAATTATATTGTCAAATTCATTTGTTTGAAAAATTCATCATTATATATTTATAAAATTAATTCTTTCTATACAATCATTCAAATGTATCTACATTATAATTTGTATAGCATCAGCATCTATTTTGCCTTTTACACGGAAATACAATTTAACTTGCACGCTTTTAAAAAAAAATATCCTTAACCCTTAAAAACTGCCTAAGCTAATAAACTTCGGGGTGTCAAGTTGGGGTACACTCCGGGGGGTGTCTAGTTGCCGCCTTTTGATCTAACCCACAATGCCTTCTGATGAACTTTTTACCTCAGCGTCGGCGGGCTCGTTTATAGATGCGTGCGCACGTTCCGTCCAATCGCTGGGAAACGATTGGTCAATGGGGAGATCACATGAGTTGTTTGCTAACTTTTAGACTTTAATTGGCTACACTGAGATGGTGGGGCTCTGGTTCTGATTGGGGGGGGGGGGGGGGGGGGGATTTAATCAACATTTTAAAAATCTGAGATCTAAAGCCACGAAATAATCCTTTTTTAGAATTTTTTTTTTATTTTTCCGAAAATAAACTTCGAAAAGTTAAACGCAACTTAATACTTTATAAATAAAATATAACCAAACATCTCTCTCTCTATATATATATAAAATTCTCTTCTTGGAGACGCTAGAAAACAAGCTGTAAGCGCGCTCCCTACCACCCCACCCCTACATGGTCTGGTGAGCTGTTGTTCACGCTAAATGTTTACAGTAGTAGAGCCGGGTTTAGTGACGGCTATTAGGGGCAGATAATTTAATTTGAAACAATTTTAAACTTAGGGGAGGTAACTAAGAGGAGGCTGCTTTCACGACGGGGGGGGGGTGTAGGGTAGGGGTTGGGGGAAAGGAGGGTGGGGGTAGTATCGTTCTTA